GAAGAAAGAAGCAAAACTACCAACAAGAATCGAAATGATCCGGGAGCCAGATCGAGCGGCCAAATCAGCAAACAAGGCGAAAAAAGGGAACTTGACGGAGTTAGAGATTGTGCAGTATGCTCATGCATTCTTTGAAAATTTTAAAGGGCTCGTTGTCGATATGATTTTTAGTCGAAGAGAACGCAATCAGAGTCGAGATTTCTTTCTAAATCGGACCGCAAAAGACGCTTTTGATGTAATTGAAGTCGAATTGAACTTCATATATGAAGCTCTCTTCACCAAGCTTCCAGTGGTTTATGGTTATTTGGGTGCCATGAATCGTGTTTTCTCTTTAGCGACGATTTCTTTATCGATCGTTTTGTTCTTTTTCAAGAACAAATCGAGTTTAAGCGACGTTGATATCACAATTACGTACGGTCTGCTCTTCGGTGCATTGGCATTGGATGTTACCGCCCTTTTCATGCTTGTTTTTTCGGATTTAACCATCATTTCTCTCCGGAAATCACCCGATGACGAGCTCGACAAGTCTATAAAAACCAGAATCCTGACTCGAGTTCTCCGATTCATGACCGAAGGCACGGTTCGAGATCCGAACGTCAACCCTCGGCAAAAACCGAAGGAACACCAAACACGTAAACCACTGATTCGGTTCTTGAAACGGAGATGGTCCGAATCCGTTTCGACTTACAACCTTATCGATTACTGTTTACACCCTCGATCAAGCTTCCAACAATTCGTAGTCGATAACCTCGGGCTCAGCGGCTTCCTTGATGGCATCGAATACGTGAAACCGGAAGAATTCACCGTCAAACTCCGAGACTTCATCTTCAAGGAGCTCAAATCGAAATCCGATCTTGGAGATGATCTCGAAACCGCAAAAGAGATAAGTTTGGCACGTGGCGATTGGGTTCTTCGTGTCGAAACAGGATGGGGGAGTTTGCTTCAATACACGCTCGATGCTGACTACGATCAAAGTCTCCTTCTTTGGCATATCGCCACCGAGCTCTGTTACAACAATGAACTCAACAATGGGATCGAATCCACCGATCAACGTGAGATCGCAAAACTTTTGTCGGATTACATGTTGTATCTTCTGATCATGCAACCAAGCATGATGTCAGCGATTGCCGGAATCGGACAAATCCGGTTCCGGGATACCTGTGCCGAGGCGAAACGGTTTTTCGAGAGCGGGAAAGGTCGGGAAGTGGACGAAGATCGCCGGAAAACTCCGGTATCCGACGATCCGAAATCGAACCAAAAGCAGATAAATGCTTGTATGGAGATTCTGAAAGTGGAGACGGAAGTGCCGCCGGCGACGGTGAAGGGTGACCGGAGCAAGTCGTTGTTATTCGACGGCTGCATATTGGCTAAAAAGCTGATGAATATAGAGAAGAAAAACAAGAGTTTAGATAAATGGTTGATTATAAGCAAAGTGTGGGTGGAGTTATTGTGTTACGCTGCAAGCCATTCACGAGCCAATAGCCAAGCGGCTCAAGTGAGCCGAGGTGGTGAGCTGGTTACCATTGTTTGGTTGTTGATGGCTCATTTGGGATTGGGTGATCAATTCCAAATCAATGAAGGTCAAGCAAGAGCCAAACTCATTGTTGGCAAGTAGTTTCTCATTTCAGTAAAATTCAACATTATCATTTATTTGTTGGGTAAAATTTTAGTCTATCAAAATTATATCTCATGCAACAATTTACCCGGTAAGTGCTAGCCGTGGTGAGAGTCGTCGCCCTCACTTACCAGATAAGACTCTCGGTTATTGTGTTCGCTCATATCGGGTAAGATTTGTGGTCGTTGCTATATTCATCCGCTAAGATAAAGTGACTTAAGCGTTTGGTAAACGACCCCTAAATCATATTTTATGTCCTTATTTGTTAAAAGTTGTTATCTTTGTTCTTAAATTTTCGACATTGCGGTTTTCGTCCCTCTTCACAATTCATTACTTTTTCGTCACTATAGTAAACCATTGACGGATTTAGCCTCAAAGATGCATATAACACATATACGAAAACCGTAATTTTAAAAATATATGGACGAAAATTGTTGTTTATTCTAGAAAAATGTATCCCAGATGGTCATAAGAACCGACAAACTATTAGGTCCCGTTTGGTTTATAGTATTGGATTGAATTTGGAGGGATTTGGAACTGAATGACATTTCAATCTCATGTTTGGTTTGAAAGATCTCCTGGAGTTGAAATCCCACAAACATAAGATTTTGAAATCCTCAGAGGGTGTTGGTATTTCATGGGATTATAAAAAATTATTTATTTTTATATTTATTTATAATTCGTTTGTATAAATTATTTATAAAGAATGAAATTCAATTCAATTCCAAATCCTACAAACCAAACATTCCAAAACTTCCCAAATCCCTCCGATTGCAATCCTTCCACATAATTCAAATCTCTCAAAACCATTCTGTCAAATCAAATGTCTCCTTAAAGTTGGTGATGTAAAATTTCTACAGAGATTTTGATTTTTTTTTTCTCCATTTTTAAAAGGTTATAAAGAAACTGTTGAAGATACTCTTTGAATTATCAGTTAATATTCTAAAACAATATGTTTTATTCAAACTATCATTTCCTTACACTTTTGTATAAGGAAAAAATGCAAATTTTGTAGAACAAGGATAAGGATTTAATAGTTCAAATTTCAAAAGGTGTGTATAGGTTCAAAGTAATGTTTGATGAACTAGAACATTAATAATTTCACTTATGAGCTGTTTGTCAGTTGATGAATGGTTTGGTACATAATGATCAAATGGTTAGGGCGTTGAATGGTTAAGGGAGGCGCATGATACAAAATCATTTAGAGGGTTTTAGAACCATTAAAAGACATATTTTTATTTTTTTTTGCTAAATAAGATTCACCTCTTAACAATTCAGAGACTACATCTTGACTATTAAAAGGTAAACAAACAACCTTTTATATTTTATGATTATTCATTCAGATGCATTTTGATCATCTAAAAGCATATTTTAATCACTTGGTACCTTGAAGGCTTATTCACCAGCTCCAATAATTTGCAGCCAAACCACAAGGATGATACCTGATTGGTTTGAGTTTAGTCTCCAAATGTCGAAATGTCAAAAGTGTTTGCAGGTCCCTGTTCAAATCCAAAGAGAAATAAAAATCTCAAAGATGACCCCTTTTATATCACTTTAACCACAAGAACAAAAACTAAACACATCAAAGATGAACAACAATCAAAATTAACAAAAACCCGGTTCAAATTATCAAATATATGCAAAACAAGAAGGAACCCATGAAGAAATTGAAGTTAAATTTCTAGACTGTAAATTTGCAGTATGTGGATTTGCATTTTTACATACTTCAAGAAGAGAAACAAAGCCAACAATGTTACCATGAAAGCTCGAAACTATTATATGTATAGGCATAATTAAATGAGAATCTTATATGTGAGAACTTTTATTGTTATGTATTGTTTAATTTTTTTCTATTTAACGCTAGAATTTAAGATATAAATAACATATATTTGTTTTACAATGTGTTTATTTCAAATTTATTAGGTTTACAATGTGAAACTTTTTGTTGTATTTTTTGTTTCAAAAACACGTAAAAATGTTTATATTGTGAAACAAATATATATTAATCATTCTCTAAATCTAAGTCATAGATCGGAAAAAAAAAATCATGTAAAATAGCACATGATGCACCAGGGTTATCATAATTTTGCAAGTTCTCAAATTACTAGACACACACATACACACACACACACACACACACACATATATATATATATATATATATAGTTGAGTTCTGGTGAGAAGAGAAATTATGGTGAGAAGCGTTAAGAAGAGATTTACACATTTATATCAATTCTGATTGAATGTCAACACTAATAAGGTGCACCGAGATGGACCAGATCAATTCTCTTCTAAAGCGCAATTTATGAATGGGCATGAGATTAAAAGTGATAAAAGGTTCAGATCTCTTCTTGCGTTTCTCATCATTCTCCTATATATATATATATATAGAGAGAGAGAGAGAGAGGAGGGGGGATCCACACAAACACATGGTCAAAATAAGAAAACACAAGAACGGCTAAATCACATTTGATTTTCCTCTGAAATCATATGCAATTACGAAACACGGTCAATGCAAAGTGTGCGCGGACGACTTGGCACGCGATCAAGGTCATCCAAACCACATGTGATTTTACACTGAGTTTTAGTGTGAAATCACGTGTGATCTAGTCATTCTCGTATAAGCATGAACCAAGAAAAATGACTTGGCACAATGAAGATTTAGCATTCTAAAATATTGAATTATGATTAACTTTGACTATCTCAAATTGATAAAAAAAAATGATATCTTGTGAAATATGAAGGTGGTTACTAACAGATTGAGTCTGGTCGGGTGGGAAGAGATGAAACCCGATCAGACTTCAGATTTTGATATGAAAGCCCGAAACTCATGTTCAGATCTACAATATAAGCGGGTCACAATTTTCAAGCCAGATTCTGATGTAGTTTCGAGTTTCTTCCTTTTCTTCAGAACCCATCTCCAAATTTCAGATTTCCAACTCATATTTGTCCCGGTAATCTTAGGAGTTGTACAACATACCTTTACATTTTGCAACACTCAAATCTTGAAAAAGAAAAGTATATTAAATCGATTCTGTTAAAACAGTAATCTAACTAATTAACGATCTAAGTTGGCAGGTTCTGGCTTTTAAATTCTAAAAGTTCAACAAGCCGAACAAATTAACAGAGAATCTAAAAGCCCAAGTGTCCAATCCAACAAAAAAAATGTTCAAACAATCGAATATTCAAAAAAGCTGTAAAGATCAAAGTTTAAAACAAAGATATAAAGAGCTTAAATCTGAATATCGTTTTCATGACTTTACTCATCCATCTTCCACTTACCATCAATCATCAATTTTCGTCTAAGTCTTCTTCTTGTTTCCCAAAAAAAAAACCATCATAACTAAACCATATATCGAGATTCAAAAAATCAGTGATGAGTTTGGGTGGTACCCGATTGGTTTGAGTTTGGGCTCCAAAGGTCAAAAGTGTCTGGAGGTCCTACGTTCGAATCCAAGGAGGTATAAAAATCTTCTTATGGCTACAGAGGATCAAATACGATGATTTTGTGGGTGATCGGTATGGGATTAATGGGATCGTATAGCGGGTTGGATATCCAGGTTAATAAAAAGAATCGATGATGAACTAACGAATAATAATTATGACCAACATATTACATGATCTAGATCAATTGTAGAAGAAAACTATCATGGTCACGGATAATTAATTTGTTGTTTCTACACATTTAAAAACAAATTAAAAAGTAAAAACGTCGTTTCTACATAATTATATTTTGTTGTTGTTTTTAAGAAATGATAAGAATTTACTGTAAAATGACTCTTTTAGACCAGATTTGCTAATTGGCTTCAAAGAGCAACTTTCTGAATACAACAAGCATATTGTACAAGCAATCAATAAAGAATGTTGTTGTTTTAGCACGAACATGTGTCAGGTTCTACTATGAACTAAATTTAGGGGCTGTTTACTTGCGGTTTAATTAGGCTTATTGGTTTATCTGGTTTATTCGCATAGCTCATTTGGGTTGTTTACTTACGGCTTATTCACACAAAACATGGCTTAATCGCACAAATAGAAATGCTGTGTTGTCTCCATTCAACCACAAAAATAACACCTCTACCTCTTATTTAAAATATCGCCTCCTTCCCATATGAGACATCCCATCTTCGGTCTCCTTATGATTTTTTGTTTTGATGTTTAAATAATTAATATTGGGGGTAAATCGGTCATTTATGTTATTCAGACTGTTGGTTCAGATAAAAAAAAGTAAACAACAACACTCATTTATCCAGACAGATAAATTTATTTTTGAAAGTGTACATTGTGCATGGATTTACTGCTCTGTATCATCATCTTCAACATTATTACAAACCCTACAAATTTAGTGTTTTTTATGTTGTTTTTTTCCAAATTGGACACTTTCGAGTGTTGTCGTCCTGAACATCAAAAACCATTAATGAGGGACTAAATAGGAATTAAAACGAAATTCTTTTAGATTTTAATATATTGTGCTCTATCACTAAGGTGACGTTTGTTTTTTAAGATGTGTTGAAGTCTGAATTCTGATTTCACTTCTGATTTATAAGATGTTGTGTTGAAGTCTGAAATCTAAATCAGTCAAACTGTTTGTTTTTACATTTGAAGTCTAAAATCTGAATAATAGTTAATGGTGATATTGAATTATATTTCTGGTTCTTGTGTTATTTCTTGCTTTATGACATGTTTTATATCACTTTAACTACAAGAACAAAAACTAAACACATCAAAGATGAACGATAATCAAAATTAACAAAAACCCAGTTCAAAATATCAAGTAAAATATTAACATATGAACTATTTTTCATGAAAAGCAGTAGAAAAAAAAAGATGTGTGTTGGAAAAAGGAGATCGATAAAAAGTAGCAGAAACAAGATAAAAACCAAGGAGGAACAAAAATTCTCTTGTGGCCACGGAGGTTCAAATACGGTGATTCCGGGTTATCTGCAAAGCAGGTGGTTGCCCTGGAATTAGTCGGCTCACATAGCGAGTTGAATATCCAGGTTAATAAAAAAAAACAAGATAAAAACCCAGTAACCA